CGATATCGAGAAAAAGAAGCAAGAGTTGCGACTTATGGTCGGGTATGTATTTGTTTGTTAGTTTGTCAAGGAATTCTTAAGATTATTCTCTAATGAAAATTTTGATTAATAACGTAGCGAAAGATATCGTGACTTGATAGATGCAGCTGATAGTATAGTTAATATGCGTAAGTGTGCCTTATCAATTCAAGAAGAATTGCATCATATGCAAGATTCTTGTGACGTTCATGCCTTGAAAAGATCGGTTCGGGCTCAAGTTAATGAGGACAACAAAGGCACAAAGGGTATAATATCAAGTGTTTCAAGATATGTATTTACTTTCTTTGGCTTGGATTGAAGTTTTCCTTGACGAAACTTATTTGTAGTATTTAAATTAAGATGAGAAGAAACACCATCTGTATTCATCGGCTGCACAAATCAAATTACTAGTGGACGTTCCCGAGCAGGTATTTGAACGTAGCCTTAAAATTATTATAACTTTTTAATTGAAATTCACAAATTTTTTTTTAAAAAAAAAAACATTAGATTTGGAGATCCTTGGAGAGTCATAAGTATCTGAATGCAAGTCGGTTATATCTCATCGCCAAGTTGGTATATAAGAATCTTCAAGCTCATAATGACGACTCACCATTTAATGTTTCAGTAACTATTAGATTTTTTTTTTTTATTATATATGTGCTTGTTACAAATTTTCTTTAATTAAAATACATTAAATTATTTACAGGTAACGTTTCCTGTTGTTCAAAGACAATGGGACGCTGTCAGTCATTTTAAGTCACAGATTCTCCAAAAGGCAAGACAATATTTAAAGATAACTGATCAATCTGAACAGGTGATTTATATATATATTTTTTTTTATTTACAATATGTATATATATAGATGGATAAATGAATTTTTTTTTTTTTCTCTTGAAGAGTTTAGCAGAAACGTTGTGCGCGATTATGTTGTTGGATGATGTAACTAAAAAGGATGTATTTCAGTCGTGCCTAGACAGGAGAACTTCAGTGTTGTTGCAACTTCTTGAAAAATCAACCACAAAAGATGTGAAATTTTTAACAGAACAATTTAAGGATATGATACATATTATTCGAAGTACTGTTTTCCATGTAGGATTAGTATTTATAAGAACAGGAGATGAACTTTCATTGTTTGAATCCTACCTTAATCAGCTTCAACAAGGATTTTCTGTTCAGGAAGATAATTTACAAACACCATCCTCATTAATCTCACCGCGCGACTCGAAGGTTTCGCTTACACGTTTATATTCTCCTACGGCTAATATTCATCTCCTGATGCGTTATCTACCAGGATCCATTCAGACCTTTACGCCATTCCTTCATATGTCAGGTCCTCGTGGGGATTTTACCCAGGACGACATTCGTGAACGGATGAATGGATGGTTTGACTATATCGTGCAATCATTTCAAGAAAAACTTGGAATGCTTCTGTCAAAAGTTGTACACGCTCGAGATTTAAATGAGTTAAGGAAGAATATATGGGATATTTTGAAAGAGGATGAAAGTTCCAAAGAAGAAGAAAAGTCGGCAGTCAAAAAGCATCCAAGCAAAGTTCATAGAACTAGTTTGGGTTTCATTTTAAACATTCAAAGGACTGCTTGGTCTTGGTCTTCCGTGAGTTTGTTTTACTAATTATTATTTAAACAATAAGGTTACACTAAGTTATGAATCATGATTATTTTTAATTACTTCAGGCTTGTAACCTTGTGTTTCATAAATCGTTTTCAATTTGGCATGATTTGTTAAGACAAGGTTTTAATAAAAGATTTCAAGATATCATTAAATCGTCATTCGAAGAGTTATCAAATCAACCCGGGAAGTTGCTTAGAAATCGATTATATAAATTAGATAAATCCAATCACGAAGGTAATAAATACATTGGAAACTTTCATTTAAATAATGGAATTAATTTTTTAAATCTCATTATCATTTGAATAGAACGTCATTTGGGAAAGTTTATATGGGCACATGATTCCATATTTTCTAATACAAAAATTCAAGAAAACGTTGCATCAATATTTAAACAAAGGATAGAAAATCTTGTAACAGCACAAACATCTTATGTCAATGATGCAAAAATTGCTTTTGAAAATAATTTGAGAGATATTCGAGAAGATATGGAACCTGTCTTTGCATTGATTAATAATCGTACAGATGAATTATTTTATGACAAATTTCATGGAAGATTATTTGAAGTTCACAGGTATTTTTAGAAATTTCTTTATTGTCGAACGTTGAACATGTATTAATCGAATTCCTCCTATTTTGTTCAGTGATACTGAGGAATTGTCTGAATTTTTCCAAGAAACTTTAATGATTTCCGTCACATCTTATCGTAATCAACTTAATAGCTTGATCGAAGAAGTCGATACACTTGAAAAAACACAGGAAAATAAAACGATTCCAGAAAATAATGGTGTGATATCCCGAAAAAATAATATCATACTATATTCACTAAAAAATTTTATTTTTATTTTTTAAAACTTTTTTTTTTTTTTTTTTTGTAGCAAAACGGTTGCTTATTGGAAGAATTTCCCAAACAATTGCTTATGAATCTGCGGTACTTCCATCACTTTTACAACCAACTACGGGGCGTGATAAGCCGAACGATTTTAATTCTCGTCTTTCTTCGGCTCCAGGTATGCACAATATTCTTAGGCCAATTTAATGCTTTCAAGGAAGATTTGAATAATTTTTAACATTGCTGCTTCTTGAATTAGATCCACGTTTAGTAAACTTACGCCATTTATTGATGGATGTTTATTTTTCGGCACATAAACCTTGGATGCGATGGATCACAGATAATGCTCGAGAAGTTGTTTCTGAAATGTTAATTAAGTCACCTTGGAATGAAGAAAATATTCAAACTTTAGTATGGGAAGGCAAGTAATTCATTATTATCAGCCGATATATGTGTTGAAGATATTAATGTTTAGATGATATTATTTATTAAATTAGAGGTAACTATGCAAGATAAAGCTAATTCCAATGATAGCGAAGGCGAAAAAATAAATTTGCCCTCACAACCCTCAAATAAAATTATGAAGAGTCTGTTTGATATATGTCAAGAGTTAAATAGAGTTGGTAGTCCAACTTTACATGAGGTTAATAAATATTTACAATTTTTAGTGATTTTTTTTTTTTTTTTTTTTTATAGAATATGTTATTAATAATTGTTCTAAACTTTATTAGAACATCATTCGGGAACTTTTTACAACATTATCATTGAACATATTTGAAAATTATAAAGTTTTTACATCAGATACTGAAAATTTTGCAAAAGTGACTGAAAAGGGAGCTATACAAATCTTATTTGATGTCAAATTTTTAAGAAAAGTATTTGAAGGATGTTGGTCATTGGATATAGATAATGAATTTGATGATGACATTAAAGCACATCAAGAAAAGGAGGAAATGTTCAACCAAATATTAAAAGCCATAAAGCAAAAGGTAACTCATTAGAAGGTCATAAAGTATTTAATTGTTTAGATTTATTTATTAATACCTTTTTGTATATGTATAGATTGATCCCATTGATTTGGTCGTATTTGAACCATATTTGAATAAGAATGTTGAAAGACATTATATAAGAAGTTCAATTATGTTGGGCCTATTATTTCAACTAAACCCAAAAATTACAGATATGTAAGTATAATATTATTTTGGTTTTCAAAGTACCTTCATGAATTCATGAATGCTTATTTACAATCATATAATTATATTTATATTTATAGGAGGCGCAAAGGTGTTGCGTTACAAGATTATCATAATATAATGGCAATAGTGCCGCAAGCCGCTAGGTTTACTTTGTTACCAATTAGTCATAGGTCTAACAAAAAAACCAAAGTATAAGATATTGAAAAATAATATCATTTAATAAATTTTGTAATATTAGCTGTTAGGAAATAGTAATTTAATAAAGTTTTCCCAGTAAATTTTAGGCATGTACATTGTTTAATAGCATTTTTTAAATATAATAATAAAATGGAACACGTTAAAATTTTACCCATGTATTATAAATTTTCGATTGAAGTAGAACAAATAATTATACCCTATATTTATATGAATCTCAGCAATTCGGACGTCAAAGTTCTTGATTTACGATTAGTTTCATAATATAACGATACTTTAATAGGTTGTAACGACATTAATAATTTAAATAGAAGTAATAAAAAATTTTTTTTTTTTTTATTCTTATTAACGATTATCCAACTTTACAATAATTATGATTATTTACAACTTTTTTTTTTTTTAAAAAAAAAAAGGAAAGAAAAAGAAAAGGAAAAGGAAAAAAAAAAAAAAAATTAAAGTACTTGAAAGAAAAAACTGTTAAAAAATTTTTTTTGTGATTTATAATACAATGTGTGTATGTGAAAGAAGAAATGTTCGTTGCTTTGTCCCGCCAAAAATCTCCGTGAAACAATTTTTTTTTTTTTAAAAAAATAAGATAAAATGGTTAATAATATTTGTTACAATGAGGGCATTTACATTCTTCAATGAAACTTTTCTCATAATCATAAGTATCATTAATATAAGGTTGAACGTAACTGTTTCGTCTTGGACTATTTTTATCAACTTTAACGACTCTAAATACCTCACATTCCTCAATATTAAAATACATGTGAGAAGAATATTTTGCATAATAAGAAGGTACGTAACAACCACTACCATATCTTAAAATTAATCTTAAATCACCAAAACATGGACCATCTTCCGATAAGAAATGCTTATATAAAGTGTCAAATCTATTTAGACGGCACAAAACAGATTTTGAAACATTTTCTCGATTATCAAAGAAGAAAACGAAATTTTCTTTGACGCTAAAACCATCCTGTACATTAATCGATTTTTTATCTGTAAAAAGTCCGTAAGGGTCAAATCCTCCTACTAAACACCTTTGTCCTGCTATCTTTGCAACCGCCAAAGTTGGACCTTGTTGATTACATTTCTCGGCGAAATTCTCAAATCCATCCCTTGATGATCTAAAGATCAAATCAAATTTATATCTGCAAGCAGTTTTCGTTTGCTTTTCACCATCAAGTTCTTGCCTTTGTAAGGAACCGATCCATTTAATAAAATGTGCGGCATGAACATGATTTATAAGATTTGAATCCTTTAATCCTTGAGAACCTTTAGGACTATATCTCGTTAAATACCATTTTAAAGCGGAATTATCCATTTCTTGAGATGATAAGATCTTTTCGTAAGGAAGAATGTTTGAATGAATATCATTTCGAGAAATTTCCGCGAATTGAACCAACGGTAAAAGGTTTCCAACGGTCCTTCCGAGCAATTTGAAATCATCATCCGACCATTCTGATAATTTTTCCCCGTCAAGGGAAGGGTTTTGTGATAAACCCCATTTAATGATGAGTTCCCAACGAACAGTTTGCTCAAGGTTACAATTATACTGTCGTAAAAGGGAGAAGAGGATCGTTTCTTCCAAAGTGTTCAAGTCTTCGGCATCTATCAACCAATTAGGATTGGTGTTGATTTTATTAACCAAATGACGGCGTAGTTTGTAAAAAGATTCCACTCCATATATATAATGTAAAACCGGAATACAATCTTGTTCTGGCCAAAAGTCCATGTTTTCTCCGACATGATCCGGTATGCTGTCAATAAGGTCGTCCAACATGAATTCATCGGCCGCGATAAACAGGTCATAAATCTCATCAGCATCAAGATTATCCAACATTAACTCGCCAATATATAAGTACCTAAATGAAGGAACAACGGGTTTTTTTATGAATATGATGGACACGTGATTTGAATTTGTAAAGAAAAACAATAGTGATTTTTTTTTTCTTTACCTGAGGATAATATCAAATACAACCGGTCTAACGTTTGGTTTGTCAATAATGAAAACATCATTTTCTTTTCTGGCCCATTCAGAGGACAAAGCTGTGCGAAAATAAGAAGAACGAGAGCATAGAATGATTGATCCAGCCCTAAATTCTTTTACGTCAGGTTCGGCTCCAACACGAATGATCGTATCGTAACTTCCCCCATAATCACAATTTATCTCAGTTATCTTTTCGTTATCACTGTTAAATTCGTTCACTTTTGTATGAAATTTTTCCGAGATGGTAGATTCGGTGGGTTTATTATTATTATTATTATTATTACCAAGCAAAAGGTCAAAAATATTCACTTCATTTAAAAGGAGTTTTTCATTAAGGTATTCCAAAGTGTTTAAAGCGGAAATTATCGTTGATTGAGTTGTCATGATGAAAATTTTTTTTTTATTATTAAAAAAAAATATATTATTAGATTTTTTTTTTTGCGTTTTTTTTTTAAAAAAAAAAAAAAAATCTTTTGGAAATTCGTGCTTATATTTATTTTTTTATAAAAAAAAAAAAATTAAAATAAAATTCAGAAGGACGAGTAACCATTGCACAAATATCATGAGAAACTGTAAGATTTTCCTCATAATAATAAAACTCGTTTTTTTTTTTTAACATTAAAATATATCTATTGGAATTTGGAGTATCGGGTGGAACCAAGTAAAAAAAAAATTAGTTGCAAATTGGAAAGGATCGTTTGACAAGTAAATAAAATAAAACATCTAACAATCAAAGAGAAAAAAAAAATTTATAAATAACTTGTTGAACTTGTCACAATCTATTACGTTTCTGGCAGCTTGGCGCACGAATTAATTATACCCTATGAACCAACGTGGACATACTTTGCGGATTTTTCACGCATACATTTCTTCGGGAGACAGGATTTCTTTTATGTTTTAAATTTCTTTGTTTGTTTGTGTATCAAAAAGCGGGGGGTACCTATTCGAAATGATAAATCATCCGAAAGATCCGTGTTGATTGTAAATCCAATAAATATGCATAATTAAAATTCGCAATAAAACCGACACATTTCTTCAACTCTTGAAAAAAAAAAAAAATATTGATTGAATCGAAAAGATGGCGTTTCTTTTTTTCAGATGCGTTTTTTTAAAAAAAATTAGATGATCTTGAAAAAGAATTTATTTAATTTAATTTGGACTTACGTTGTAAAAAAAAATTTTTTTTTTTTGCTTCGATTGAAGCATCCCTGTTCCTTATCAGTAATTTATCACACATATGTACATCATCACAAATATTTAAAAATTTTTAAAAAAAAAAAAAATGTAAATCTAAATATCATATGACTGATTAATTGGCGCAAAAAAAAAAAAAAAATTTTTTTGTTATCCTAGACGTTTTCTTGTCAAAAATCTTGTTGGAATAAAAAAAAGATCACACGACCCAATTAAACTTTAACAATGATACATTGAGATTTTCCTTTTGTGTTCAAGTTGAACAATATGATGTTAAAAAAAAGTGGGAACAATATGATGTTATTTGAATGTGAAAAAAAAAAATTTTTTTTTTTTTTCTTGATCAAGTTCTTACGCTTGTGTGATACCGATGACTTTTTTTTTACATCTTGTGATATCTTAATCGTCACTCATTTCGGCTAAATTCTATTTTACCCGCCAAACGTCAAAAAACGATAACTTAAGCCGAAAATGTGGGGTAATTTGTTTACGAAAAAAAAAAAAAAACTTTATTTAAAAAAGTGTGGGGTAAAAAATTACAATATTTAAAATATTAAAGAAAAGCCCAATTTCATTAAATGTTTTTTTCATTTAAATGGTGCTTGTCTAATCATTAGATAATTTGTGTTTGATTATGACGAATCTCGATGATTAGATTGTTAATTGTTTTAGGGGCAAGAATATTAAATTTAGCTTAGTCGAAAAAAATCACACGCTGCCTTGTCACAGTTTATTTGAAAAGTGACGAACAACAAAATACGTGCGTACATGGTACATAACCATATCGATATGGAATAATATGGATCGATTTACCGCGCTTTTTTTATTGCATTGTTGTTCATTCTTATGGGTCACCTCGTCGTCATATAATCGTAAAGAAATTCATTTGGGTAGATTGCTAGGAAAATCAGGTTCCGGGAATTTTTTAGCAAAATTGAGATTTTTATTGCATTTTAGTTTTTGATGTAATTAGATTAAAATGTATTAAGCTCTTAATTTTAGTCAAAAATTTCTCGGAACCTGATTTTCCTAGAAACACTCCCATTTGTCGCATGAAATTACAACGATGAATTTGAATTGTCTCAAATCTACTATCACAATGAACGATACTAATCCGAATTCAATATAATTTGATATGTAATTTATTTAAATTAAAAATTTTCTTCAAAATAAAAGCGGACGCAAAATTGTAACACGCACAATAAACCGAATTTGGCAGGCAAATTTTCCCGCCCTTTTCTATTGAATTGTCCAAATACGTTTGATAAATAACATTCCTAGTGTTACGGTCAAATTTTTACCCTACTAACAAGCCTTTTGTCAAATGTCTATTCTGTGAAGAACGCAGTTGCACAGAATTATGAAGCCCCAGAAATAGAGTTGCATTCGGTAATTTATACATTCATTGTGGTTATTTATTCAATTAAACTATAGGATTATTGATACGTGAACTTGGATCTGGATGGTTAACTAATTTACTCCTTGCTTTGTCCAATGAGTTAATATCGAAATTGACATTATGGACCAAGTTAAAGAAATTAGAGACAAATATACAAAGTTAATTGAAAATTAAAATTGGAAAACGTTTTTAATGAAAAACCTATCCTAAACGTAAGCATCGTTTTTGTTTGTATTTATAATTAACAAAATTTCTTATTAATACTTTTTGTTTTTTTAAAAAATAAATAAATGAATAACTGGGTAAAGATATTCAGAATAATATCTTATTGCATCATAGTAGAAACTAATATAAAAAAGATCTATTTATTAAAAAGATAAGCCTATATGATAAATTTATTGAAAATTAAACAAGGTCCGGAGGTTAAAAAAATATTGAATTCAGTCATGGAATGACAATTAGAATTCTTAAATAAAAGTGAAAAAGGAATGCAAGGAATTTATTAAAACTAAATATGGAAAAAGATAACTAATTTGATAGTTTTAAAAAAAAAAAAAGGAGCAAAATCCTTTCTTAATTATCATTTTCTTCTTGTTACTAAAGTAAACCCATCATCATCAATGATGTGTTTATTTGATAATTTTGATGGAGTTGTTGAATTATCTATATCCATCTTCTCATCACCTTCCATCGTCGAACTTTCTCCATTTTGTAAACTTTCATCATCATCATTACTGCTATCATCCTTCTCATCATCATCCTCGTTTTTTGCTTTCTTTGAAGATGGGAAATTGTGTTTGGTAGATCTAACGGCTATTCTATACTGTATTAGTTAAAGATGACGATGGATGCTAGATTATTTTTTCAAGGATCAACGTTTTATTGTCAACGTGATCGAATTAAATCTTACTTAAAATGGAAGATTTAATAGACTGTTTAAGCCCCAAAGTATGGATATTTTTCTCATAGCATCATCATATGTTACAGCCCTCAAACGAAAAATTTTTTTTGTATGATTTTAAAATACAGTTTTGCAGTATAATAAATTTTTGTATTTCACATAATATTTAACCAATAAAATATGTCTAAACAAATTATTTTTAGATAAATTGTAATGCTTCGTTTTGTTTGAACAAATAATATTTTTATTATAATCACAGCATTAAGGTGATAGTCCAGGTGACAAATAATATGTGACAATTAAGAATACTTAACAAAAAACGTGACAAATACGCGCCTTTTATTTTGTTGTTGATTATTGATGTTTGCGAGTCACGTGTTAGAACCCAAGATCGACATCATATATAACTTTATATAGAGATGATCATCATAACAAGCTACTTATATGTATTACGTATCAAAAGTTTCGAGCTTCTTTTCTTCCTATGACAAACAACAACTCATATTGACAAGACTAAAAATATTGTTTTAGCGACGAAATTTATTAACGTTTAATATTTTTTTTTTATTTTTTTTTATGTTATTTCGAAACACCAGCAAGGAAGTGGTAGTATATTTTTTTTTTGTTATTTTTATTAATAATATATATGTATATTTTTTGTTTTTATCAAATAGCAGACGGACGGCTAAGGAAGGAGATAACATAATAGGATAATAGGTAATGGGAAAGAGAGTGAGCTGGGCATAGCTGGGAGTGGGTTTAATTACTAGCTGATAACTAGCTGACTGGCAGTGCGCCGTGTTTCGCTACCAAGCTGAAGGTATGGAGGCTTGACGGTAACCTTGGTGAGGGGATCAGCTTCTTCTTGATGTGGAATTAGCTATGCTTCCCTTACGGACCAATCATATTGGTACTCGAGACCGATAAAATTAGTCACAAGGCCTGTCATGCCTCTTGCACGATCTTCTAATATTTCAATAATCTTGATTTATAAGAATCGCATTTAAAGTTTCAAACCTTTATATTGCGTCTAATCAGAAGAAAATTTTTTTCTTTTGATTTGGATTTGGCCTTCAAATAGTTTGGCGTTTTATCTTTGCCTTCGCTATGTGTGTGATCTGATTTTGAAATTTTTATTTTGAAATTTTCAAAATCTATCATCCAGGTGTGATAGATTCTATCAATTCTCTGCTGCACTACTCTTTATGGATCATTAATCGTTCTGGCTTCTCGATTCAACAAGCCACTACTTTCGTAAGTTGATTTTATTTATTGCTTTCTGATCTTTGGTCTTGTCATATGAGTTGTACAATTGTACTCGTATAATTACGGTAGTAGCAATTATTGTTAATGTAATAGATAAAATATATGTATATTAAATCATGTTTCCATGTAATAATAAATTAAATTTTTTTTGTTAAACATATAATTAAAAGCTGCTTTCAGATAATATTTTGTTATCATCTTTTTTCTTTTCTTTTTCTAATTACGCTCATAAAATGAATGCATATCTAAAATATTGGGTTGTATACTTTTAAAATAATGATGAAAAAATATCGCGTAAAAACTTGAAAAAAAATCATTGGACCGATATAATTATATAATTTATGTACCTTGTAAAAATCACTAATAAAATTTCAAACTTACCATTATTTATTTCATCAATAAACAATGAATTGAAATTTGGCGCAGTATATCTTCATGTGTCGAATTCTTAAAGTTGGCGCAGCATTTCAACAATAAAAAATTCTATCAAGAAAGAATTCGTATTGAATTTCAAGACAGGGTGGAAATGTCGGGGAACAAGGATTCTAACGGTTGGGTGGAAGCCTCTTACGGAAAATATTATGGATAAACGAAAACCTTTTAAATATTGGGACTTTGTTTTACAAAGTAAAATATGGGATAATTTATTTGGGAAATTACAAAAGGGGAGCTGTAATTAGCAAAATTAGCGATACAGATAGAAACAAATTAGCTTTTGAAACTTTAAGAGAGAGCAAAGAAATAATATGACATATGAAGTCCCTTGGAAAGCTTTTCTCTTTAATTTAATAATTTTTTCAAAAAAAAAAAACAAAGGTTATCTTTATTTAGGCAAAGATTATAGATAATGCATAAACTTTATTATGATTTATTTGCGCCTGCAATTATATTTCTAAAAAAAATAAAATTCACATTATATTTTTTAAAGAATTTTTGCCTCCTTTTTTCTTTTAATAAAACTATATCAAACAATAATATTTACATCTTCAAGGACCAAACACGCATGAAAATTCAGTAACGTCGATTTCTCCTTTCCTTGGAACCTCTATTTGATATACTCGTCCAACATTTGGAACCCCAATAATCGGCTTAGCCCAATTTCCGGTTGCGCTGTTGACATGAATGACAAGAGCACACATCGCGTTGATCAATGCCTGACGCGCAGGAAGCCCATCCGTATCAACAAAAGAGAAAGCGCAGTCCGATTGAGTACCGATTGGTGGAAATTGAACGAAACCAGTCGACGTAGTGATTACTAATAATACCCCTTAAAAATAATCCAACATAATGTGAGATTTATGATTAAAATTATAGACATACCATTTACTAGAGATAATTTTGTATGAAGAGGATTAGCCGTAGTCCTTAACATTAACCCTAGCTCATCCCACTCGATTAACAATAGGGGGTCTTGGTTATTCTTTACCCATTTTTTAATAATTTTTTTGGAATCTTCATTTAAGTTCTCAATACCTGCAAACAAATCATATTGTTATATAATAGAGATGCTTGACAAAAGAATATCACCACCAACCTGCTGGCTTTTGATTAAATTTTCTAATTAGTTTCTTAAAGACGGTTGGAATAGGCATTTTAGGTAAAAAATTAATATTTTGAACGTAAAAGTAAATACATTTTTACGGTTCATATTATTTTTATTTTAATATAGATAAACTCGGTGGAATAAACTCCAAAAAAATTTGTCGATGATCATCAGTGGTATGACAAATCCATTGTTTTCAAGGGCCAGAAATGACAAGTGATGATCACAATAACATAATTGAATATTTGCAATGAAGAGGTTGCCGGAGTTTTTACAAACTAAATTCATTTTATAAATTTCGCTTTTTACATGGATCGTCTTTGAATAAATAAATATTTACTCCAAGTTTGAATCAAAGATTTATTTCAATTATCATTAATCAAAGCTTGTGAAATCGCAAAAAAAAAAGTTTATTATATAATAAATAATATAAAATATCCAGACAATGGTAATGACATTATTGATGACATCAAAAGAATATTGTGGATTTATTGTGAAAAAATCAGACACGTACCATTTGGAATTTTTATCTCCCCAAAAAGAAATTCGTCTCAAACACGAATAGCGACTATTGGATTTTCTTGTAATAACTTAACAATTGACTGATTTTTTCCAAGAAATAATCTTTTACACTTGATTATGACATTCATTATTTAGTAGGTACACTACTTGCTACACCTAAACTCTTGTGATTAGGATCATCAAAAACAATCAAATCTCTTTCGTGTGCCTTATTATCATCCCCAGGAAAATTAGGATGACTAGGACTTGCAGGAGCTGTATTTGATCTTCTTGTTTGTTGTGAACTTTTGAATTTACCCTTATGTTGGTTAGATGATCCACGTCTTTTCTTTGAAGCCAAAATTAATTGATCTCCAGTTTCCAATTTAACGGCTAAACCTATTCTCGCGTCAGATTCATCATAAATTTCTTCTTGAATTAATTCTTCAAGTACATCTTCCAAAGTAACAATCCCAATTGGTACTGGAGGATTTCCTTTAACCACTACAGCCATATGACTTCTTCCTTCTTGAAATGTATTAAGAATATCGAAAAGTGGCGTTTCAGCTTCAACTGGTGGCATCGGATTTATTTGAAAATCTCTCAACGGTTTTGGATCATCTGGATTAAACATTATCAATAACTAAACCATAAGAAAAGGATGCTTGTTAAAGAGTATCACCAGGAAAAAAAAAATATATTTTTCATATAGTAGAGACATTACCTTGGTCAGTAATACGCCCAAGATTTTATCTCGGGATCCATCATAAACAGGAATTCGTGAGTGTCCAGTTGTGTAAATGTCTCTCATTGTGATCCTATCCAATGTGGTTTCAATAGGTATCATATATGCCTAAATTATATGATAAATATTAGACCAATGCAAAGGGTAATAAAAAAAAAATATTTTCAGGACTTACACTTTCAATCGGAGTCATTATTTGTTCAACAACTTTATCTTGTAAATCCAATGCACCTCGTATTATGGTAACACTATCCTTAATTAAATCACCTCCGCGTTCTGTGGATGTTTCATGATACTTGATCAATTCTTTAAGTTCTGTAATATAATAATTTATAAATGATGAGTTAAGAAGAAATAAAAAAAAATATATATAAATTTTCAATATTTTAATATTTACCGGCACGACGATAAATAATTCCATGATTTTCACCAAGAACCCAATCTAATAATTTTGCGATTGGATATGAAATTGGAAGCTATAAAAGAGAAGGTTAATAAGAAGTAATTTTGATATGAAAGAAAGTAATGACTCTTTGATAAGCTTACAGTCAACCAGATTAAAATTCTAACTGGCCTAATAATGGATAGAATTAATTTTCAAAAGAAGATAAATAAATAAACCAAATAAATAAATAAATAAATTAAATTATAAATTAATTTTTTAACAAAAAATTCATACCAGGCGAAGAAAGCACCAACAGCAAGACCATAACGAGAACATACGGATTGAGGAATAATTTCTCCAAACACGACAATAAGTGCAGTAGACACCAAAACAGCAGTTACACCCCCTCCACCCAAAACATCATCCATAATAATTGGTAATGTTTCATTAATTACTACGTTTGCGAGTAAAAGTGTTACTAAAAGCAAATGTCCGTTTTTTCTAATTGGCTTTAAAATTTAATCAACGCGTTTCATTCGTTAGAAATTATATGAGAAAGATGTTATAATTTATACAAAATATTTTGCATACTTGAATCCTTGCTGCATATTTCCTATTTTAAAATATATCCATATTAGAAAAAGAAAAATACTTACAATAGATCATGTTTTAAGGTTTGATAAAAATACCTTTGTTTGGGATCACCCGAAGATGCGAGAATATGAAGATTAGTTCCATCAAGGCTCATCTAAGTAAAATAAAAAGGGTTCGTCAGACGATGATCAAAATGAATTGCTTTATTTTACAGTTTACAGATTTAATTTACCAAACCAAGAGTTAATCCTACAAAAATATTAAATTAATCCATAAATTTTTTTTTTTTTTTTAAAAAAAAAAAATCGATATCAAATAAGTTTTTAAATAGTTACCGGCAAATAATCCACCAGATAAAACCAAAGCAGTAGTTATAGCAACTTTGAGCCAAAATTCAATATTAACATCGTCACTTAATTTAACATGAACCTTTCGCGTAATAGACAACTTTTGTTCTACATTATCGTTAACTGGTATTACAAAGGCCTTAGCGATCAAAATCAAACAATTAAACAAAATGGTAATTATTTTCTTCATCATACTGTAGTTAATATTTATTTGTTGTGTTCATACCATATCACTATTAATATTTTTATTGGTTTTTTTTTATGGTAACTAAATCAAGAAAAACTGTTTCACTGCATAATAATTCTTCTTAGAACGATCTTTCTAGGTTCGAAGAATTTAGATTTTCTACGATCAACTGATGATAACAATGTTGGCACATGACATCATATGACTTATCATAAAAGGGAATTTTCGATACACAAATCTTAAAATGATGAGTTCGGGGATTTTTTTGTAAGTACCAAATAAAGCAATTTGTTACTTATAATTCCGGCCGGAATTATTTAATCCATATGAATTATATCGAATTTTGATGTGTAACCTTTGAAAACTTTAATATTATGAATAATAATTCAATTCCGAAGCTCAAAAAAAAAAAAAAAAAATAGATTAGAAATTAAAAGTAAATAAAATACAAGAAACTTTCAAGCTACACCGCCTACGTCCTAGATCAAAGTGTAAACACAAACACATACAACCATTACACACATTCGCTATCATTGTTAGATAAACGTCATGTTTACATCTTATCCGTAATAGTATTACACAATAACTTTTTATATCTCTAATGACTTTTAACAAATTCTCTTTTTTACAATCCGATAAACGAAATAAGAAATAACGAAAATGCAATTTTCATATCAAATAGTTTGGACAAACTTTCTTGCCTTAATATTTTTCACATTACCATATTATCATGATATCAATATAGAAAGACATATGATATCGAATACAAAATATCCTATAATGACCGATAAACAGCCGAAATTAAGTTTTCCAAATCATTGTAGTTTGGAAAAATTATTTCTGGTCGCTAGACATGGTACTAGGTATCCTGAAGAGCCTGATATCAAAAAATTTGAAGTATTAGAAAATATCTTTCAAAATGTTTCATCTAAACATAAGGTACCAAAAAAAAAAAAAAAAAAAAAAATGAAGAAAGAAAAATCATTAAGGCTTAATTTCTATTTTTAATTTTTACTTTGTTAAATCTTGTGCAGTTTAAAAATCGATTTTCATTATTACAAAATTCGTTGTTGAGCACCCATGGACAAAAAGAACATTATTTATTGGGTAAACGTGCTTTTAAGAAATATCAGAAATTCTGGAAAAAAATTCTTCCCTATGAACCTTATACTATCAAATTTAGAAGTTCGGAAACTCCAAGGTATGTAATTATTTTTTATTTTATTTTATTTTTTATTTTAGTCATAAAAGTTTGATCGGCAAAGGTTTTTATTCCTAATTACGTAAGAACCGGAATGTCGGGAATTTCATATTCTATTGGATTACTCGATGGAAAAGGAATTTTAGGTAAAGGAGATTATCAACCAGTTTATATATCCACCATTCCTGTGGTAAGTCTATGTAATATAAATCATCCTCCATAAGAACAAATAAAGTTTTTTGATTTCTTTAATTTTTTTTTTTTTTCTTTCAATTGTGTAAAGTTACAAGATTATGAATTAGCAATTCATAGATCTTGTCCACGTTGGAAAGAAACAGTGCAGAATAACAACGAAAAACTCGAGAAACAAATTTTTCATTTTACTTCAAATTTAACAAAAATTTCAAATCGTGTCTCAAAAAAATATAATATTGAGAATCCACCACTTGAACCAATTCATATCAATTATATTTATTTAGCATGTGCATACGATATTATATTTTTTGACAAAAATAGACATTGGTGTGAAATATTACAACAGGAAGAAATTTTAACGTTGGAATATTTTAATGATATGAGATATTATTATGAATTTTCTTACGGAAGTGATTTAAATAAGCAATTGGCTTGTAAATTGGTTGGTGAAATCGTAAAGGGTGTGGATGATTATTTGAATGGAGATTCAACTGTCAAAGCAGATTTAAGGTTTACTCATAGCGAAACAATGATGTTCTTATACACTTTCTTGGTAAGTAATTATTGAAATAAAACAAAAAAAAAAAAAAACATCACTATTGACATTCTTTTTTTACGGTAGGGATTTTATGAAGATTCCAATCCTTTAACAGGAAATGCAACTTTTGATGAAATTTCCAATCGGAAATTCAAAACCTCGGAAATTTGTCCATTTGCCGCCAACGTTTATTTTGAAATTTATACTTGTGCCTCCGATAAATATACTTTCTTTTACAAGAAAAAGCATGAGGAATCCATTGTAGTTCAGGTAGTTGTTAATGAGAAACCGGTTGTCGTTCCTGGATGTGGTTCGAAATTTTGTGAATGGAATAAATTTAAAGAATTGTTTAGCGA